GCTCTACCACTTGAACCACATCCCCATTCCAACTTTTTGCTCATTGATTGGACTTTCCTGTCCGGGCTGGCTTTGAACCCCTCGATCCTCAGACCTCAGCCTCCTGGAAGCTAGGCTGGCAGACGTGAGCAGCCTGAGCCGTTTCTTGTTTGGGGCGGGACTGAGGTTTGAACTCCAGGCCCAGGGCTTCCTCGGCAAGTGCTTCACCACTTGAGTCACATTCCCGGCCTTATTTTCCCCCCAAGCCTGACCTCCATCCTCCCTATAGCCGGGGCGGCATGCTGAGAAGGGGGTCTCACCATGTGTTCCCCCCAGAAGTGGCCTCAAACCAAGGCCTTGGCCTCCCAAGTAGCCGGGGTTACAGGCGCGCTGCCTGGCGAGGCCTCCCCAGGCCCGGCAGCCCTGCAGGACCCGCCCTTGCGCCGGGCCACTCTCTGAAACCCTGTGCTCCGTTTCCATCCTTTGCTCTCCACCTGTTTTCTGTCGTCTCGCCTTCGGTCCCGAGGTGCTTGGGGTGGCTGAGGGGGCCCCTCCTTTCTAGTCAGAGTCTCCAATCCCTGGGGATCCCTTGGCCTGGCTTCGGTCCCCACGCCGAGCCCCACTGGCCTATCCCAGGGCGCCCCAGCCTCTCCCAGAAGTCCCGCCCCGCCCTCAGGCCTCCTCTCCCCGCAGGTGCTGGTGGTGCTGGCGCTGGGGGGCTGGAGCTTCAGCTCCTTGCAGCGACCGCTGTTCCTGGCCGTGCGCCTGGCCTCCTGGAACCAGATCCTGGACCCCTGGGTGTACATCCTGCTGCGCCAGGCCGTGCTGCGCCAGCTCCTCCGCCTCCTGCCCCCGTGGGCCAGCGCCAAGGGCAGCCCGGCCGAGCTGGGCCTCAGCAAGAGCGCCTGGGAGGCCAGTTCGCTGCGCAGCTCCCGCCACAGCGGCCTCAGCCACTTCTGAAGGCGGCCGGAGCCCGAGCCGCCCCCTCCCGCCGCCCCCCGGGCCTCGCGCTGAGCCTTGGCGGTGTCCCGTCGGGGGTGCAAGACCCACGGCGGCCGCGCGGGGGCGGCAGAGGCGCAGCCTGAGCCTCGCGGGCCGCTGCAGTTCCGAGGCCGGCCGCGCGGGGCGCACTCACGCCCAGTCTTCCATTGGCGCCCAGACGGCGCCCCCCCCATCCCCGCAGGCGCAGGCGCGTTGGGGTATGGGGAAGGCGGGGGGGGGGGGGGGACCGAGGTGAGTGAACCTCAGCTCCTTTGCAAGCAGGTTTCAGACGCGCTGTCTGGTCCTGTTGATCGTTATGATCCTGAGCGCCCCCAACACTTGGTCCCCCCAACCCTGCCTGTCCCGGCCTGGAGGCTGCACCCCTCCCGGCTTGGAGTCCCCATGCCGATCCCTGAGCCGACCTCCTGCCCTGTGCCCAGCGGCCCCAGGCCCAGGCGCCCTCCCATCCATAGCCCATTTCTGCACACAAGAAGAAACGAGAGGATGCACGGATGGGTGACCCCCAAAGCCATTTTTTAAAAACTAAGAGCTCTGGCGGGCGGGGCGGGGCGGGGGCGGGAGAAGGGGCTAGCAGCCCCCCGCCACGAAGTCGAAGTCCCGGAAGGCCGCCTGCTCGTTGGCCGTGAGGGGCCGCGCATCGCGGGGCGGGGTCAGCGTGGGGGCCTCCCCCGTGAACTCCTCGTCGAAGTTGCTGACGTCCGTGCGCCCCGAAAGCTTGGGCACAAAGGGTGGGGGCAGGCGCCGGGCCAGCAGGGCGTCCCAGCCCAGGGTCTGCGAGGGGGGGAGGCCATCAGGATGGGGGGGGACCTTGGACAGGTGCAGTCTTGGGGTTGGGGAGAGGCCTAGGCTGTGGTCTGTGAGATCAACACCAGGAAGAGGGGGTACAGGTGGAATTGGGGGTTCAGGAAGGATCGAGGGGGTAGGTCCACTCAGGACAGCAGCCGTGGGAGGGGAAATGGGGTGTTGGGGAACATGGCAGGTTTTGAGGGGGATGGCAAGGCTGGGGGACTCACCCTGAAGAAGGGCTGCTTCTTCACGTCCTCTGCGTCTCGCTCGCTGGACCCCAACCTCCGCTCCGGGTTTCTCCGCAGCAGCTGAGGATGGGGGGTGGGACAGCGTGTCATCTACTTCCGGTTCCCAGAGTGCCCTCTGCCCCCCCCGCCCCCCCCAGCACTTGTGGGAGGCCCTCACCCTCCGCATGATGCCGATCGCCTCTGCAGACAGGAAGCGAGGGTAGCGGACCTCGTCATTGACGATGCTGTCGAACACCTCCTCCTCGTCGTCCCCGGGGAACGGGGACTGGGGACAGGGACGGGGGGGGGTGTGAGGCCCCCTCCGCGCCCCGCTCCCCGCGCCCGGTCCCACCGCAGCCCCTGCCGCGCCGCGCGTCCACCCCGCCGCGGGGGCCGGGCCTCACCTCGCCCACCAGCATCTCGTAGAGCAGCACGCCCAGCCCCCACCAGTCCACGGCGCGCGTGTACGATGTGTCGGTCAGCACCTCGGGGGCCAGGAACTCCGGGGTCCCGCAGAAGGTGCTGGTCCGGTCCCCGTAGCCCATCCCTGGGGGCGGCGGGGGCAGTGTGAGCCAACGGTGGTGGAGGGGAACCCCGCGCCCCGCCCCGTCGTGGGGTCCCTCCAGATTCCACCCCTCACCCTCCTTGCAGAGGCCGAAGTCTGCGATCTTGACGTAGCCCTCGGTGTCCAGCAGCAAATTGTCCAACTTCAGGTCCCTGAGGGGGAGGACCGAGAGGAGCGTGGGCAGGGGGGCTGGACACGGCCCGGGCCACGCCCTCCGCGTGGGCGTGGCCACAAAAGGCCCACTCCATGGGCGGGGCATACAGACTCCCTATTGGTGGAGAGCATGGGCACGCCTACGCGGGGTGGAGCGTATGCAAATGAGAACATGCCCTAGATGTAGTCCACAGAGGCCCTCCTCCAGGGCGGGGCCTGCACATGCGCGCTTGCACACGCACGCACACGCGTACAGACACACACACCTGTAGACGATCTTGTGCTCATGGAGAAATTGCAAGCCGAGCACCACACAGGCGGAATAGAAGCTGCAAGGAGAGACGGCGAGGGTCATAGAGGCCCCGCTGGGGGAGGGGGGGGCCGAGCCCGGGGGGTCGGGGGCTCACACGGCTCGGGGCTCGGAGAACACGTCGCTGTGGATGTGCAGCATGAGGTCGCCGCCGGCCGAGTACTCCATCACGAAGCACACGTGCTCGGGCGTCTGGAAACAGCCGAAGAGGTTGACGAGGAAGGGGTGGCCGGCCCGGGTCACGGCCGCCAGGATCCGCTTCTCGCACATCAGGCTGGGGGGGGGGCGGGGGGCCGGGGGGGGGACGAGTCAGGGGGGGCGATTTCGGGGGCCCCCGGACGGGTCGGTGTTCCTCGCTTTGGGGAGTTTCTGTTTTTCTCTCTTTTTTTGGCCCAGACCAATACAGTCTTCACATGCTGAAACCTTTCCGAGTTGGGATCTGATTCTGGCTAAGGCTGCTGGGAAGTCCGGGGACACACGGCCTGCGTGCGCGCCCACACCCAGGCCAGCTGTCCTTACCCCTGAAGCCTCACCCGGACGAAGTGGGATCCGAACCCGGAGCCCCTGACCCCTGCGCAGGCCACCGACCCCACTCCTGCCCGGGCCGGGCCGCCTCCCGGCGCCATGGGCGGGGGACGGAGCCCCGGCCCCTCACCTCTCCACCTCGTCTCGGGCCACGATGTCCCCTTTCTTCAAGGCTTTGATGGCGAACAGCTCTCCGCTGGCCCGGAACTCGGACAGCAGCACCTGCGGGCGGGGTGGGTTCGGTGACTCGGTGGCCGTGGCCGGCTGGGGAAGCGGCGCGTGGCCATGTCCGCGCTCTCCACCCCCCTCACCTTCCCGAAGTGGCCCCGGCCCAGCACCGCCAGGAAGTTGAAATCCTCCAGGGTCAGCGGGGACTTCCTCAGAGGGCTGTGGAGAGAGGACACGGTAGGGACAGAGGGACGGGGGGGGGGGAGGGCGAGGGTGTTGGGGAAGGGGTGTCAACCTGCACAGGGTGGGGCCTGAGGTCTCTTGGGTCTCTGAAGGCAGCTCAGGAGTGGTATTAGATTCCTGGATCGGGGAGCCCTGTGGGGGAAAAGCAAAGGTCACAAGGACTTTTTGTAGATCCAGGCCAGACCTACACAACTGTCCCCTTGGACTCAACTGGCTAAAAGGGCATCCCAAGGACACTCCTGAGCTGCCCCTCAGGTGTCTGTCTATGTCCCCCACGTCTGTCCCGGTAGTGTTAACACCTCATGGAGTTTTTGCCAAATTCAGTCAATGTGGCGTTTCACATAATTTAACGTGAGCCCTGGCTGGTCTAGAACTCTCAATCCTCCTGACAGCCTCCTAGGTGCTGGCATTACAGATGTGGACTATTATATCCATTAAAAATAATAATAAAATAAGAGCCAGGTGCTGGTGGCTCACGCCTGTAATCTCAGCTACTCAGGAGGCTGAGATCAGAAGATCATGGTTCAAAAAGCCAATCCGGGCAGGAAAGTCCATGAGACTCTCATCTCCAGGGAATTACCAGAAAACCCGAAGTGGAACCGTGCCTTAAAGTGGTAGAGCACTCAGGGACGGTGCCCAATCCCTGAGCTCAAGCCCCACAACTAACAAAAACAAAAAAGGGGCTGGGAAGGTGGTTCAGTGATAGAGTGCTTGCCTTGCATGCATGAGGCCCTGGGTTTGATTCCTCAGCACTACATAAGCAGAAAAAGCTAGAAGTGGC